TCCCCCCGTAAATATAAATTAACGTGTTTTTGTGTTTTAAAGATATTTTGAAAGTTATTTTGGGTGGCTAGTTTTGAAATGAAGTCCTTGTATGCGGATATTTGAGACATTCTTACTGTAGCGCCTGGGGGCGTACCATCACGAAACTCTTGTTTCAGATTTTGTTTAATCATGAACTACTCTTTTATTTAGCCCTTTAGATCTTGAGATTGACTCCTTCAGATTGACGGATACTAAGTTCTGCATTTCAAGCAAGAAATAAAGTAAGCCAGTCATAACCGGCTTTTTTTCGAATCCTTATTAAAATTATGTTTTAGTTTCAAACTTTCTGCCAAATAATAAACCATGGAACGAACCGAGTCCCTGATAGGAGTAAACCCACGTGACTGCAGTTTGTTTTCTCATTCTCAGTGCCAAATAGTGAACATTTACCTAAGGAGCCCTTAGAAAAATTTTTAGATTACAGACGCCTTTTTAACGTGGTTTTTGGAATTCCAAATGCTTTGGCAGCAGCATTTATACCCATTTTCTTCTCCTCTATATTTTTTACAGCATTTCTCAGAACATCCTCCGACCAATCCCCTCGTCCTGTGGTCCCTTTACGTTTATATAATGTTGGCATTTTTCTGTACCGAAAAAAAGCCAATTTTAAACATATCCCATTAATTTTTTAAATGAATAATGAGGCAACCAAAAGTAGGTACTTAATAATTTACATGACGTGGTCCGACTATCCCATATTTTTTAAACTGGTCCAACTATCTCTAAAACAAGTCCATCCCATTCGTCAGGGATTCATGGACCAACTTCCATTTCACGAGCACGAGGTTTGCGAAACGCTGTTTTAGGTTATTTTTATTTCTAAGCACACTACCTCAAGTAATGCCATCGATATCACATTGAAATCGCGTAAACTAATTACACATTATCAAATGCTAGTTTAATGTAATACATTTTTTAACCGACTTCAAAAAAGGAGGAGGTTATCAATTCGTCGCGATATTTTTTTTTATGTATGTTCAGCGATAATTCTTTAACACGGTGTCCGATTTCAATAATTGGGTCCATGAGAAAATCCTCAAACTCTTCATTTTTTATGTATGTTTAGCGATAATGCTTTACCACCTTGTCCGATTTATATGATTCTTTTTTGTTAGTAAGGGGGTGCCTCAGGGGTGGTCTCATGTAAATTTGGTTTAGATGTCATGATGGCATCTGCACGTTTTTGTAGTCGGTTTTTTAAATTTTTAATTTCTAATACTTGTCAACTTACCCAAAGTTATCAATTCACTTTTTTAAAGAACTACGTAAAATACAGAGCATATGATTTGCACACGATTATAAACTGATGGCGTAGCAAAACTGTAAACACTGTCTATAGCGCTGATGTAACAAATCTCTAAACTATCGAGGTGGTCCGTCTAACCCAGTGGTCCATCTAACCCGGACTTACCTTAAATAAATTCTAAATTATTTTAAACAATGTGGTTTTATGTTTTTAACACTGCAGTTAAATATATCCAACTGTTCATTAATATTATTAGATTTATTACACATGTTATACACAGGGTGAGTCGGGAGGAGCGCACCAAACACTAGGAGTATATTATACACGTGAAAATAATGTAAAAAAACTCATATGTTCTTATCCGATTTTCATTTATTTTCAAGTTATAGCATATTAACAAATAAACAAATTTACACATAAAAATTCTCTCAAGGAGGTCCTTTCGCCACCAATGTTAAATAAAAAATATTATATTATGACTAAAATTAATTTTTTTCTAATAGTAGATGTCCTTATTTATCTAATAGTGAACTTTTAACTATACCTTACCGTGCAAATTTTTGAGAATTTTTTTTTTTTTAAATGTGTGTGTTTGTACAGTTTCTTATGAGAAAGTAAGACTTCAACAACAATTTTCGAATTATAATTAATTTTACTATTATTTATTGATTAGATGGAGTAGAAAAAACTAAAAATAAGGTTTTTGAAATATTTAGGTTTTGTTTTTTACAATAAAATATATAGGTTACCGTGGAATTTATTGAGAAATTATTATTAAAAAATCACAAAAAATTTTCAACTAGGTTACTTGAAAATTTTTTGTGATTTTTTAATATTAATTTCTCAATAAGTTCCACGGTTTACTATTTATATTTTATTGTATAAAACAAAATCTAAATATTTCAAAAACCTTATTTTTAGTTTTTTTCTACTCCATCTAATCAATAAATAATAGTATAATTCGAGAATTGTTGTTGAGGACTTACTTTCTGGTGAGGCACTGTACAAATACTCACATTTTTAAAAAAAAAATTCTCAAAAATTTGCAAGGTAAGGTATAGTTAAAAGTTCAGTATTTGATAAGTAAAGACTTCAACTATTAGAAAAAAATTAATTTTAGTCATAATCTAATAACTTTTTTTTTAACATTTGAGGCGAGAGGTGTGGCGAAAGGACCTCCTTAATCATAGCGTTCTTTCAATAAATGTTCAAAAATACCGCCATTGACTTCTAAACATTTTCTGCTTCGTCTACGAAGAGCGTTTGTTGCTCTCCTAATTGATTCATTTCTTTCTTCTTGAATATGGGCAGCAGTATTCTCAATTCGTCTAATTAGTACATCCCGTGTGTCCACTTTTATTTTGTAGACTTCATTTTTCATCCAGCCCCATAAACAAAAATCTAATGGTGTGAGGTCTGGAGATCTTGCAGGCCAATTAATAGGACCTCTACGACCAATCCAACGCCCTGGAAAACGTTCGTCCAAATGTTGCTTGACCTGACGAGCGACATGTGCAGGAGCTCCATAGTACATCTGCATTCTAATATTTACAGGAACAACCTCTAGTAGGCCTTGTAATTCATTTTGTAAAAAATTGAGGTAGTTGTCTCCTGTGAGACGATTCTCCAAAATGAAAGGGCCAATTAAATAACTGTCAACCATACCACACCACACGTTTACAGAAAATCGATGTTGAAAATTGCTTTCGACTGTTGCGTGGGGATTTTCGTCTGACCATACATGATAGTTACGAGTATTATTAATGCCATCACGGGTAAATGTATCTTAATCCGTAAAGAGTATACTCGATAAAACACGATAATTATTATTTATCCACCGACAAAACTCCATACGGTTAGCGTAATCCTGTGGTTGTAGATGGTGTACTCTCTGTACGTGATAAGGAGATAAGCCTTGCTCGTGGAGTGTGTTCATCACTCTTTTTTGTGGAATTCCCAATTGAGTGGCAATTCTCCGTGAGCTAGTAGTTGCAACTTCTTCTACTAGATGCAGAATATTTTCTACTTCTACAAAACCTTGTCGAGTAGCGCGTTCAGATGTTATGAAAGCACTGGGAAGCTTACCAGTCTCGCACAATTTGTTGAAAACTCTAATAAATACGTTTTTATCAGGATGTCTTCGGTGTGGAAAACGTTGACGATATTCTTCAGCAGCAGCTGTAGCATTTCCATTACAGAAACCATAAACAAACATCATATTTGCATATTCTAAATTTGAATAAGTATCTGGCATTTTGCAACACTAACAATCACATAAATTCGAAATTAAACGTTCAGTTACTGTTCACTGTACACCGACAGTTCATCAAAACGTCAGAATTATCAAATGCCTTTGAGCCTTGAACATATGGCATACTTTGATAATGTTAAAATTCAGAAGTGGAAAGCTAGATGAACATTTTTAATTACGCCATAACTTGAAAACAAATGAAAATCGGATAAGAACCTATGAGTTCTTTTACATTATTTTCACGTGTATAATATACTCCTAGAGTTTGGTGCGCTCCTCCCGACTCACCCTGTATACAGGTGAAAACTTCAAACGTTTGTCCCAGGAGTTGCAGTATAATATGATTCGGCGTTTCGAAAGGTTGCGCGGGGGATTCTGAAACTAAGCATATGTAAAAGAGCTTCACAATTTATTTTAAAATTAACTTTATAGATGATAATTATGGAGTACTTCCGACTTACGTCGAGACTGTGTCTAGTCAGTACATCATTTTGAGTAATTACCAGTCGGTGGATTCAATATTTCATGTTTTTAGTCAAATTTATTTTAATTTTCTTCTTGTGATTCTTTGTTTAATTAATATAATTAGCATTAGAATAATGTTTTTGTTTTTGGTTTTAAATAAATAGGTAATTGTTTTTGAAAAATACTTATACCAGCATTAGTTATTACTTCATCATCTTCAAAATCAAAATATTCCGATAATGGTATGCAGTATCGAATTTTACCAAGAGTACCGTTTTGGTATATAATTGAATGATGTTTTGAGTTTACTTAAAATTTGGACTAGAAAATGAACCTCAAAAAGTTATGTTTAAAAATACTCGGTACTAACCTTGTAACTAGCGCCCTTTATGATAGGCAGATATAAAAACAAATTTCTGCATGCTTTAAAATATATTCATACAAAATTTCATAACAATGTTGCCACTAGTTTCAACATAATCGTAAAGAATGTGTATACATTTTTTTTAATACCCTGTGTATCTTGAAAACGAATGCCGTTACATTTTTATCGAGCAAAACAAACTTATTTTGCAGTGTTCTACCTATTCTAGTAACTGGACCATCTATTTTTGAAACACCCTATATACCACATGATTTAATTTTTATAATTCTTAATATCGATCAAAAATATTAGATATAAACATTGTTTTTACATTAATAATAGTAAGTTCTATGACTTGCTAAAAACCTCTTTTCACAATTTTTCTTCACTCGTGAGAAAAGTATCGTTTTTCTCTCACTTTTTTTCATACTTTTTCATATTTTTTTTTCTTACTTTTTGCATACTTTTACATACTTTTTCATATTTTTTTTTCGTACTTTTTGCATACTTTTACATACTTTTTTTCATACTTTTTTTTTGAATGCGGAAAAATATTGTGATTTACGGAATACTGACCCTTATGCAAGTCAATAAAAAATATAGCCTTATCAGTAATAGTTATTGTTACTTACATTGTAAATTATTGTTACACATGTCGCTACTTGGAAAATATTGTAAATCTTAATGATTTGTGTTATTTGATAGGGTTTTCTGTTCTTCATAAATGCTGGTAAAATGAATAGAACTAATAATAAATAGACTGCTATGATGCTCAAGGTGGGTACAGGGCTTCCCATCATGGTCCATTTCACAACTCTGGGATCTAGAAACAAAAAAGATTAATTAATTAATTAATTTAACTTTGTTTAATACAACTATAAAATAATACTATCAATCATAAATAGGCATTTGTTTACTCGAAAGTATTCAATTCGTGTTTTATGTTAGACAGATAGAGCTGTCGCCATTAGAAAGGGAGACGTCCACTAAATTGAGTGGGGATGGTGTGGTGCGAGCACGCGTTTTATGAATGAATCCGCAGTCACAACTACGATGCTTGCTTTGTTTACACTGTCATATTGCAAAATAAATTGCGTACTTTCTTGGAAACCATCTTCAACTACAATAGTTAAAACAAGAAAAGGACATTAACTTAATAACTAGCACTAAGAATGCAAATGTAGTTCCGTAATGTTATTTTTAGAGCATTTTAGTCTAAGAGACCGTGGGAGGTCGACCTTCACCCATCTGATAACCAGATGAATCATATTTTTTATGAATTTTTATTGATTTATTAACACGCCTATGGAAACTTCCCATTCGAAAAGTGTTCATGGCTATTTTTAATTAAATAAAGCAAGGCATTAGTATTTCATGAACAGTTTTTTTGCAGGCAAGCCTATACGATTATTTTCGTAATTAAATTATATTTCTTCTGATATCAATTTTTATTTGTTGACATATCGGTGTACTTACCTATATTGACTTACTTGTTCATACATGCTTGCTAGGTACCCATGAACAGAAATAAGTAAACAAGCCTACTGAGGCATATTTTCCATGTTAAAAACAATCTGTTAAAATTAAATTTGTTCGGTTATCAAAAAACTTTTCTTGAAAAAAGTGAAGGTTATAAAAAAATTGAATAAAATTTATTTAATTAAAAATAGCCATGAACACTTTTCGAATGGCAAGTTCCCATAGGCGTGTTAATAAATCATTAAAATTTCATAAAAAATATGCCTCATCTGGTTATCAGATGGGTGAAGGTCGACAGCCCACGGTCTCCTCTACTATTTTGTTAAGTAAATTCCGAATTATAACCACACACAGTCTTTATACTAGACTCATAATAATTTAGGAACTATGTTGGATAACACTATGAACGATTGCAATTCGCCTTTTGTAAACAAAATTGGCCTAGTAGTTGTTCGTAATAATAAGACAATGATATACAATATATTTAAGTAATTAAATAGAAACCCCAGGGTCATTATCATGCCTGAGAGGAAAGAAATAAGTATTTGACAACCTTGTCGTTTATTCCCTGGTTTTCCCAATATTTTGTATACCAACCAATTGTTCCTGTAACAGGTTTATATCGGGTAGCACAAATTTGATCGAAAAAAATTTGATCTATTTGGAAATTTGATCGAAAATACATTTTACCGAATGGCATTTGATCGAAGATATATTTTATCGCGTAACATTTTATCGAAAAGACAGTAGATCTAAAATTAATTAGATCGAAAGGACAATAAATCGAAAATCAATATTAAAAATAGTAAAATAAAAAAAACTCAAACGACACCATGCAACCGTCCCACACTGGAACGATCGTATGTTTAACGCTGGACATAATAGCAAAAATTACATTTAAATTATTGATGCTATTTTTTTAAGTAATTGTTTAGAAAAACATAACCTGATTGAAAACTTTACCCAACTCTCTGTATTATGGAATACAACACTTGCGTTCCTTCTTAAATATATTTTATGTGCTGGAAACCAATAGAGCAAAATATTAATTAAATAAAGTACTTGATTCAATTAGCCAATATTTTTTTCATACGTTTATGTACTACTAACAATTAATTTTATAGTGATAACACTTATGTGCAGTGGCTGCTCGTGAGCACTAGCGGCAATGGTTCACACACTGGAAAGGAATCCCGGGATTCGTTTTTCCCTTAGGAAAACAAGTTCTCCGCTTAATGAAAATTAAATTTATTTCAAATCAATCAGTTGGGGCAATAACGTTTTCTGAATGTGACTACAGGGAGCTAAATATGACCACTCAAAATGCATTTAACTATGTATGTGGCTATTTAATCAAAAAATCATTACATATCCACTCTTGCGAAATTTGCGTAAATTTCTCAGAAGAATACAATTTACTTAACAATTCTAACTTGTTAACGCATTTTAAAGCATATGACGCTGAAGAAAAGGTGTTTTGCAATTTAAAATCTCCCAGCGAAAAATTTCTCTTTTATATTTTCAAATTAGAAAAAATATTTATATCTCTATTTGATAGTTTGGAAGTATGTGCTTGGAGGTCACATACTTTGATTACTATACGAGGCAAGAGAGAGGTCCGACACGCCCAACATAGGGTGCGGCCATTTTGAACCCTGTGACACAGTTTACAGCTAAAGAATCAGATCGCTCACTCTGCGTCGGCACTTTGGATCTCAATGTTTCAGTTTATACACTGTGCAACTCGGATAATACAATATATGACAACCGCCTATAATAAAACAGCAGTCTTCTGCGTATCCTGAATTTGTATCCCTGGAGTGGATGTTATTTTGGAACTTTCAACTGGTCCGAGTGAGCTAACTGATTCTTTAGCAATAAACTGTGACTTCAAAAATAATATTCACTGACACTGACAGCAGCAAGCAAAATATCAGGTGCGTTTTAATCATCCGCTTCTGCTTCCGGAATTGTCGGTTTAGTCGTTTTAACCTGTCAGATTAAAACAAGAAAACCGACAATTCCGAAGCAGAAGAGGATGATTAAAACGCACCTATTAAAAATATTGCGCCAAGATGTAGGCAACACGTAATAAGAGTTCAAAATGGCGGAGTATTCTATCTCCTTTTAAAAGGCACTCAGAAAGCTGCGCAGTGCGACCTTTCTCCGTATAGTAAAAGAAAATCATAGTATGTGTTGGAGGTTAACTATACTGTCATTCTAGTCAACTTGTCAGTAGAGCAGATTGAATATTGTTTTGACACCTTTTGTGCTTCATTGTTACATATTATTACATATATTTCGACAAGAAATGCAGCCAATTTTTGTAACAATATTTATGTATTGTTTACTAATCTAACTAATAAAACTTTCTATTTTTTGATTTTGAACTAAATCTCGGTTTATGATTTAAAATAGAAACTGGTTAGTAGGTAGATTTCATTTTGCTTGGGTAGAATTAGCAGTAACAATTATCAATCAAGAAGATCAACATTTTCAGCCTAGAATTTTTAACATACAACATATGAATGTGTACTAATGGACTTCTTAAAAACACACGATCTAGTTTGGGTATTTCTACTCAAACCAGAAATGTGTTCCATGTGATTCTAATTTCAAGGCCATTTAGAAACGAAAGACTCAAAAACCTTATTTAACAAAATAGTTAAAAGTAAACAAAGACTGATACTAACAAAAATTACTCACAATATTTCGTAGATTAAAAACATAAATAATATAAAGGGGTTTTCATAAAAAAAATAAATCTTTATTCTGTGGTCATAAAGCATTATCTTTAGAAGAAAAAATATCGTACCTAATGTAATGATACAAAATCCCAACATAACAACTTGAAAGTATTGAGATATCTTGATTATTATTGGTCAGTTTCCAATATTTTCTTATTTAATACCAGACATACATTCCTAACCTAGTGGAGAATACTGTTTTATAATAACACTGGAAAATTTTTCCGTGAAGTCGAGAATCGAGGTACAGGATGAAACAAGAACTTTATTGAAACTTGGGTAAGGAATATAATAAAGCAAATGGTACATTCTGTTTTTTTAATTAAATTACTACACTTAAATAACACTCAGAAATAAAAAATAGCCCCCCCACTCTTCCAAATTTATCATATTTTCATTTGCCAAAACTATTAGATGAATTAAATTTTCGATACAAAAACCGTGACAGAAAAGGAAAAGGAAATTCCAGCCAACTACGTTATTGCTTTGGATAATGTATCCTATTACAGTCTATTAAAGAAGTCACCACCTACAACAAGATGGAAAAAGAAGATATTTTAAAATGGCTTTATTCTAAAATTTTTATCAGTCCTTCTAAATCCTTGAAGGCAGAATTACTCGTAATAGCAAGGCAACATAAAAACAAATTCAAAAAATATAGACGAGATGGCCCGAGAAAAAGGAATTGAAATTCTCAAATTGCCTCCTTAATATACAGAGTTAAATCCCATTGAACTGATCTGGTCACAATTAAACGGTTATGTTTCTCGAAATTACCTAATGTGCAAAATTTGTTTTTAAATGCAGTTTAAGATGTAAATGGAGAACATTGGAGAAAATGCATTGATCATGTTAAAAAGGTGAAAAATTCATTTTGGAAAGTGGATATAGCAATGAAAACTTAATAGACCCTATAATAATAAACCTCAGATAATGATACCAGTAGTTATAGTGAAGACAGTGACTTTTATACATAGTTCTTGAACTTTTTAGTATTTTTTTTTTAATCTTAAATTTTAGGTGTTACTTTTAATGCCAAGAGATTAAAAAAACTTTAATCCCATTATCAACATATAATCTTCCTTGTTATAATTTAATTCGTTCAATGTTAAAGTGCAACAATTTTGCCACAAGCATAAGGTTCAGTTTTTTTTTTTTAGTAATATAACTTTTTTTCATTCAAAATTTTATTTTATATGCCATTAAAAATAGCCATGAACACTTTTCGAATGGCAAGTTCCCATAGGCGTGTTAATAAATCATTAAAATTTCATAAAAAATATGCCTCATCTGGTTATCAGATGGGTGAAGGTCGACAGCCCACGGTCTCCTCTACTATTTTGTTAAGTAAATTCCGAATTATAACCACACACAGTCTTTATACTAGACTCATAATAATTTAGGAACTATGTTGGATAACACTATGAACGATTGCAATTCGCCTTTTGTAAACAAAATTGGCCTAGTAGCAGTGTTGCCAGAATATATTTTTGTAATGTACCAGATTTTTCTAAAAAATGTACCAGATTACATAAAAATGTACTAGATTCTATAAAATTACCAGATTTTCTAATTATGAAGGGTGGTCATTAAAGAG